CCCCCCCAATAAATGATGACCATTTTCTAAAGTATCATGGAGTGTTCGATCGCTTGAGAAGCACAATTTGTAAATGCGTAAGGCATTTTTGAAATCTTTCGGTATAAAGATGACAAACAGATATTGTTTGTATACTTTTGAAGTTTGTCATTTCGTACATTGCTATTTGTTCATATTCTCAGGGAGGCCGTTGGCCACTTGGCTGTGGGGGAGGGGGGGGGGGCAGCTTTTTCATGCTATCTCTGTTGCTTCGTGTTGCTTCTAGCGGCACCCCTAGGATTTTCTTTTAAACAGCTCAGCTCTGTCAAGTCAAGACCGCAGTCCTGTCAAGTCAAGATAAATTATAAGCCAGTAGCATAGTTGTAGTTCTAGTATTCTATTCATATTTTTGTATCGTTGGGCTTGATTATTAAATTATAAGAATTATCGAAATTATCTCAAACGTGGTGATTCATTTGTACGTAGTATCCTACAATAAGCTGTCGTGGTTTGTGTCTGAACTACCTGAAAAAGATATCTCAAACGTGGTGGTCCAGTGTAGGTAGTATTCTACAAGAATCTGTCGTGGTTTGTGTCTGAACTACCTGAAAATGTATCTTAAACGTGGTGGTTCAGTGTAGGTAGTATTCTACAATAAGCGGTCGTGGTTTGTGTCTGAACTAGCTACCTGAAAAAGATATCTCAAACGTGGTGGTCCAGTGTAGGTAGTATTGTACAAAAAGGGCTGTCGTGGTTTGTGTCTGAACTACCTGAAAAAGATATCTCAAACGTGGTGGTCCAGTGTAGATAGTATTCTACAATAAATTGTCGTGGTCTATGTCTGAACTACCTGAAAAAGATGGTTCAGTGTAGACAAAAAATAAAACAGAAAATGCCCATTTTAAGCTTCCATCCCACAGCGCGGAGTAAACTATACTTACTCCAGTTACAATCGAAGCTCAGTAAGGGAAATAATAATGCTGTCGTGGTTGCTTAGCAACGGCGCCATATTTGTTAAATTTGGCAGACAAAATTTGTAAATTTTGGTTTAAAAAGTTGATTTTTACGATAGCAAAAGACGCAATGAGTGATATTTTAAAAGTATTGTGCTTCTTAGAAACCTTTGAACGCGATTCTGGCTCGATATAGGCAACCAGAGGAGTAAAAAGCGCAAAAAATGAGCGACAGTTTGAATACAAATTCGAGAAGAGCAACTAGCTCGCTCAAGCAAGAATTGTTTCCCGCGAAGCAACGTGGTTTTTATTCTGATATTTTACGCGAAGAGGCTGCAGGCGAACTCAAGGTAGGTAACGTCTTGTTTTTGCTGCAATTGGGTGAGTTATTTAAGTTAAAAGTGGACAAAAAGTTAAGAGGTTTGAACCACAATTTAAGAAGTTGTATACGGTATAATACCAAAATATTTTGCAGCCAGGGTGAATTTCTTATAAATGTATGTATACAATATGAGCATACTGATGAGTATACTGTATTTCATATATATATATATATATATATATATATATATATATATATATATATATATATATATATATATATATATATATATATATATATATATATATAGATAGATATATATATATAGATATATATATATATATATATATATATATATAGAATTAGGTTTCGTTGTTTACAAAAACATTTGGCAGAGTGCTCAATGGATATCCAGAGCATAATTAAATAAGTGCAACGACTCAACAAATTCCACTAGGCATCTTTATTATCATCTTTATCATCTTTATTATCATCTTTATCATTTTATTTATCTTTATCATCTTTATCATCTTTATTTTGCATCTTTAGGCATCTTTATTTATTTATTTTATTTTATATATATATATATATAGTGCGGGCGGGAGAAGAGAGGGCATCGTTAAATAAACAATGCCCTTTCTCCTGCACACACTAAACGCCTGCAGGCTAGTGTCCAACCTAACTATAACTTTGTCCAACGTCAATCAAAATGTACCCTAGTCCAGGGCTAGAGGCTCGTATGTTAAAATTATGGAGAATCAGAGTAATGTATAAAAATTGAACCAAAAATATTGTTTTAATGTAATTGAACACGTGGTGGTGAGCAAACTGCTGAAGTGGAAAACAGACTTGAATTGTCAAAGTCTAACTGCTGTTGTTGGCAAGCAAAGTTAATTTTGGCTTGGAAATAAGTATGAATGACACAAATTATTTAATATCTTCACGTCATTTACTGTTCGGAATTCATACATTGTGCTGATATTAATTTGTGTCATTCAGACTTATTTCCGAGCCAAACTGAACTGAAGGTCATCGGACGTCATCATACATATTTTTGACTCAAAGTCATCTGACATTTTGTCAGACGGCCCTGCAAAAGATTTTGTATATATATATATATATATATATATATATATATATATATATATATATATATATATATATATATATATATATATATATATATATATATATA